ACACCCCTCTTTTTAGACTTAAAATTTTGCAATCGCATATTAATTAGGGAAATTGCTATTCATATATCCGTTTTTACCTCTTACATTCTCTTGTTAATTTTTTTGTCATTGATCGTTTTCAATTCATTCGATCTAATAATCGAATTAAAAGACATGTGTGAGAAATAAATGTGTATGTGGATAACACTAGTCGTGATTATTTGTAGTAATCCCAACCAACACTCCAGATACAGAATCCACCCACTAAGCTATGGATGAATCCAAATCCCTAACCTATAACCCTAATGGGCCCCACTTAAAACGCGTATCCCTCCTGTAACCACTCCCTTACTGATCTGTCCTCCAGTAACCAATCAAAAGCACTTTCAACCGCCACCGACTCGGAGCTGGGGATGGCATCGCTTTGTAAATACCCAGCAACCTATGGGCCATTGCAAACCAAACCTCAGTACCCAGCAAGTCAAACAGCTAGTAGCAAATAGCAAGTTAGCCATTAAAGCCAGCTTCTCTGAGTTAGGTTTCTGCTCCTTTCCCAAATCGCCGATCCACAGAGCTCTCCCGAAACCCGAGGCTTTCTCCGGCGTTTTCTCTCCGACAAGGTAAACCAAAACTCTCACCTTCTTCCAGCTGTTTTGTCTGCTGAAAAGCTTAAGATGTTCAGGCCAATTCCGTCACTTTGTTAAGTTTCAGCTCGATTTCTGAATTTTCAGTGGATTTCCCGATCTGGGTTGTCGGAAAAGCATAGATCTTGATCTGTTTCAGTAGTTTTCTTCTGCTGGGTACACTTTTTTGTGCTGGGTATATTCAAATCCGAAGAGGGTATGATTATGAACACTGCTGGGTTTATAGCTGTGTTCATCGTTGTATTTCTTTCAATCCATCTTGTTTTGCTGCTAATTATGTCCCATCTGATAAAATCTTCTTAAATTGCGGCGGTCCTGCCGAAACGACGGATTCCAATGGCGTGAAATGGACATCGGATGTGGGATCTAAGTTCGCATCCGGTGGAAATTCCTCCACCACTTCCCCCGCCGCCACTCAGGATCCTGCAGTCCCTGAAGTTCCCTTCATGACTGCGAGGGTCTTCCGCTCCCAATTCACCTACAAATTCCCAGTTGCATCCGGTCGAAAATTCATCCGTCTTTACTTTTACCCTGCTTCCTATGCCGAGCTTAATGCCTCCAATGCTGTTTTTACTGTCACTGCTCAGTCCTATACTATTCTGAAGAACTTCAGTGTTGCTCAGACAACTGAGGCTCTGGATTATGTTTTTATTACTAAGGAGTTTATTGTCAATGTCGAGGGTGAGACGTTGGCCGTGTCGTTTACACCCTCTTCCGGGGTTGCGAATGCATTTGCATTTGTGAATGGGATTGAGATTGTGTCAATGCCTGATATTTACAGTGCCACTGATGGTACTACCATGATTGTGGGTCAATCGACTCCTTTCTACATTGATAACAGCACTGCTCTTGAGAATGTTTATCGGATAAATGTGGGTGGGAATGATATCTCGCCGCCAAAAGATACGGGTCTGTTTAGGTCCTGGTACGATGACACTCAGTATCTCTTAGGGGCAGCATTTGGGGCTCCCGAAACTGCTGATCCAAACATGACGATTAGTTACCCTTCGGGCATGCCTACATATATTGCACCAGAGGATGTCTATTCCACTGCCAGATCAATGGGGCCAGATCAAAGAATCAACCTCAATTACAATTTGACTTGGATTTTCTCAATCGACTCTGGATTCTCGTACCTGGTTAGACTACATTTCTGTGAGGTTGCCCAAAATATAACCAAGATTAATCAACGAGTGTTTGATATCTTTCTCAACAAGCAAACTGCTATGGCTGGAGCTGATGTTATTGCCTGGGCGGGAGGCAATGGGATTCCAGTGTACAAGGATTATGTGGTGTTTGTTCCGAATGGGAAACCACAGGTGGATCTATGGCTTGAACTGCATCCAAACACATCTGATAAGCCAAATTACGATGATTCAATCCTAAACGGAGTTGAGATATTCAAGATTAATGATACAACCGGTAACCTTGGGGGGCCTAATCCTCTTCCTCTTCCTAAGCAGGATACCATTGATCCAACCAAGGCTAGACCATCATCAGGTCATGGCAAGCGAAAGAGTGGTCAAACAGCAATTATCGCTGGGGGAGTTGGTGGTGGAATTGCCTTAGCCCTCGTCCTTGGTTTCTTGGCTATTTGTGTGTCACGCCGCCGTAGACAAGGGAAGGACGCAAGTTCAAGTGATGGTCCATCTGGCTGGCTTCCTCTTTCTTTATATGGAAATTCACACTCAGCAGGTTCTGCAAAGACAAACACAACAGGAAGTTACGCTTCCTCCCTTCCTTCAAACCTTTGTCGACATTTCTCGTTTGCTGAGATCAAATCTGCCACCAACAACTTTGATGAGGCTCTACTCCTTGGGGTTGGAGGTTTTGGAAAGGTTTACAAGGGTGAAATTGATGGTGGAACAACCAAAGTAGCAATCAAGCGTGGAAGCGCACTCTCTGACCAAGGTGTGCATGAATTCCAAACTGAGATTGAAATGCTTTCGAAACTTCGCCATCGTCATCTTGTATCTCTGATTGGTTATTGTGAAGAGAACTGTGAAATGATCCTTGTTTATGATTACATGGCTTATGGAACCCTGCGTGAGCATCTGTACAAGACTCAAAAGCCCCCTCTACCCTGGAAGCAAAGGCTTGAGATTTGTATTGGTGCTGCTCGCGGTTTGCACTATCTTCACACTGGTGCCAAGCACACAATCATTCACCGAGATGTGAAGACAACCAATATTCTTTTAGACGAGAAGTGGGTTGCAAAGGTTTCAGATTTTGGGCTGTCAAAAACAGGTCCTACATTGGACAACACGCACGTCAGCACTGTTGTGAAAGGTAGCTTTGGATATTTGGATCCAGAGTACTTCAGGCGGCAACAACTGACCGAAAAATCTGATGTCTACTCTTTTGGGGTTGTTCTCTTCGAAATCTTATGTGCTCGCCCAGCCTTGAACCCAACGCTTCCAAAGGAGCAAGTGAGCTTAGCAGAGTGGGCTGCACATTGCCACAAGAAAGGCATTCTTGAGCACATCCTTGACCCTCATCTCAAGGGCAAGATAACACCAGAATGCTTCAAGAAGTTTGCTGAGACAGCAATGAAATGCGTGTCGGACCAAAGCATCGACAGGCCATCAATGGGAGATGTGCTCTGGAACCTCGAGTTCGCCTTGCAGCTACAGGAGAGTGCAGAAGAGAGTGGCGAGGGTATCGGTGGAGGAATGGACATCGAGGAAGAGCCCTTCATGGGCAGTAAAGGGAAGGACCCCAAAGCAATGCCCGGCTATGATGGTAATGTAACAGACTCAAGGAGCACTGGAATGAGCATGAGCATAGGCGGCCGGAGCCTAGCCAGCGACGACTCTGACGGATTGACGCCAAGTGCCGTGTTCTCACAAATCATGAACCCTAAAGGACGTTAGGATCGAAAACACGGCTCATCTCTCATTCAAATCAGGCAATGAAGTTTGCTGTTTTACTTTGTTCCACTTTCCATTCATCAAGTTAATGTTCTTCTCTAATATTATTTTGAAGTCATCTGATATGATTTGATCGCGTTTGGTTGTAATTTTGTATCTATAATTATATGAAGAGTTTGAGAATATGTTTTATTACTTCATATTTCTTTTTGCCATGGGATCATCGATTTCGCCTTCATATTTCTTTTGTCCGTTTCGACCAACTAGCCTAATTCACATTTCCGCTTCCATGCATTTCGGATCGCATTATAAAATCAGATCAATTGATGATTCATGTATGTGTCTGCCGTCGTCTAGGACCATAACATGTGAGTGGGGGACCATGTTCAGATATAATGCAAGACAGACGACATTTAATTTGTTTAGTTAGGTATGAACAGGTAGACTTATAGGAGAAACTCGAATATTTTGACTGTCATAGCACGGCTGGCTAGCCTGCCTTAAGTGGGATTGTAACTTTTTCCACGCGCTCTTTTTGGTTTGTGACAAAAAATCACCAATAGATTTTAGGGAACTTTAACGAAAAGTTTCCGATACTGTTTACTTTAACGAAAAATTATATTTTTACACTAAAAAGTCTATCATGGTACTATTCATTTTACCTTTTATTTTGTCCTTATCGTTAAAACTCAAAGTTTTCAAGCTCTTTTCATTAGTTTTCCTTAGATTTTAAAAGTTGTTGTCTTTATTAACCTAACTTGATTATGTATAATCTAGTCACTATCGCTTGATGGAGAGATTGCTGGGGGTACGTTTTGGTATACAAGGACGGATATATTATGTGACCAAGGTGGTTTCAGGATCACTTGGAGCTCCAAACAAGCATGAAAAGGTCGTTGGGAACTCTCCGAATGTTTTGTATGAGTATCTTTTGTGACCAGTATGTGTTTTGATGCAATGCATGTAGCATATCTCGTAGTACTCAGCAAGTTGTATCGACACACTTGACAAAGTTCTCGATCACGCTTATCAGATTACTTTGACAAATATCGATATCCATTAACATATGTGCAACATGGTTCGTTTGACGACAACAAGCTCACCAAATGATCGATGAAATCTAATATACTGAAATTTGTTTGAGCGCTTTGCGTTACGTTTTTATGTAAAAAACGACTTTTAACATTGGGACCCTCAAAGAGAAAACGTATGGGTCCAAACAAATTTGTGGAAAGGAGATTAGACCACTTGGACTATTTTGAGACTTCATGGCTGTTGGACCTGTTATTGCAATTGCATTGCACTTTGAGCATAACACAATCACGACAATTTTGCTCTAAAGAAGAAGGGAACTTTAACGAAAAGTATCTGGTACTGTTCACTTTAACGAAAAACCACATTTTTACACTAAAAAGTCAATCCTGGTATTATTCACTTTACCCTTTATTTTGTCCTTATCATTAAAACTCAAAGTTTTCAAGCCCTTTTCATTAGTTTTCCTAAAGAATAAACTGAAAAATTTTAAATCGAAAATTGTTCATGCGATTGTTCGTATTTACAATCCAAAACCAACTTACATAAAAAAAACAATTTCACGCCAAACATATCCACCAACTCGCGACATGTAAAAGGAGGTATTGAACAATCTTGCAAAACATAGAAACCACTATCGTAGTTATTTTTCACTCACTGGAATTGAATCTACAACAGCAACTATCTTCTTCTGCAACTCCGGCTTGTTGGCGCCAACTAGCTTGTCGATTTGCTGCCCATCCCGAAGGAAGAAGAAAGTGGGAGTGGCTTTGATGTCCCATGAAGTGCTGAAGTCCTGCACCATACAAAACCCAAGTGTAAACGAGCATCAATCCACTGGAAACATCACTTATTGTTTTGCACAATTATAATGTTATGGCGGAACTCCGACCACATTAATGAGTAATTTGATTACCAGGCATATGGTCAGAAGAGGATTAACTTGCATGCAATAGCACTAATACGATTACATTAACATAACTGGGTACAACTTACAGTCAATTCATCAACATCAACCACAAGGAACATTAGAGAAGGGTATTGCTCGGATAACTCGCGGTATAGTGGTGCAATCATTTTGCAAGGACCACACCATGTTGCACTGAAGTTTGCAATCACCTGTTGGACAGATCAATTTCAAATAGATAAAGAGCTAGAAAAGAAAGCTAACAAGTCATTCAACACAAAACTTGCCTACTAAGCACATAATATACTTCCAAACGAGGATCCAAGACGATGAATGTGGAAACAACATCCAATGCAAACTGAATTCCGAGCAATATGTAACCATATTGCATACAATATCATTGACCTATGATGAATGTCTATTTGGAGACAAGCTGCAGAGAGAACTTGTTTGCTGATGCATTTATATCGACACATTCTTAACAAATGATCTACTACTACTAGGGACGAGTACGACCTCACAAACTGGGAAAACATAGTCTCATACACAACGCAATCTTCTAAAATTCTTTAAAGCCTGTTATAAAGGAGCCAGGATTACTGCAACAGATTGTACTCCCGGTCAAATTATGATGAAAAAAGTCCCTGTATACTAGCATCTTTTCATCAGGGGAAGACGTCATTGGGAGGTTTTCTGAATCAAAACTTAAAAGAAAATGATCTCTTACTATCAATTAGAAGAACTAGTCTTTTGCTATTCCACCCATTGTGTTGGTTTAAATTCTTTGCTATTTTTCCTTGGTCGCCAAAGCTTAAATTTGACAGCCTGGATAGGACACTCAAGGTTTCAGTAGATAAGAGAATCTATAGAGATTTGATAAGCATACTGTTCTTCCCTATTTTATATCTCAAAACGTGCAGCTTTGCGTAGGATCCCACCCAAGGTCATGGGACTTGTATCTTTTTTCATGAGTCCCGGTTTAGGTTTTATCACTAACCACAAAAGTCTTGATGATTACCAGATTTTAAATGTAGTAACTCGTTACCAATAGAAAAATAATGAATTAGGTACAGCCGAAGTATATTAAAAATTTGACAACGAAGCATCAGACATTATTCAACGTAGTATATTTCTATTGGAAAGAAAGAGTGATTAAACTTACAATTTTGCCGTCCCTTTTTGCTTCTTCCATCTTTTGATCCCAAATTTCCGTAGTGGTGATGAGGTGCACATTGGCACCAGTAAACTCAAGTTTATCTTCAGAATCGTCTTCTTTAGTTTTAGGCTACAAGTATCAGGAAAGTTATAACTTGCAGATTACAAAAGAAAAAATACAAGAAAGTTCAACATTATCAACGAAACACCCAATTATTGAGAAGATCAATCATGCAGCGATAATTTCTTCTTGGCAGGCTGCAGACATAAACTATTAAAGGCTAAACCCAGAGGGACGATTATAGACTTCTACTGCATGAATCATACGAGTTATTGCACACTAATTATCCATCAACTTCGTAAGCTTGAACAGGCGATACGGACTTGTCCTAATCAGGCTAGGAAGATATTCTATTACCGCATTGAATACCAAGCCACTCCTAAGAAGGTAAATAATTAAAACGAAAGAACGAAAGAAACGCCAACCTTACTCCCGCAAGCTCCCATCTTGATGTCCAACACCAAACTAGTTACAGAGCAGCTCGCTGAAAGCCTAAACATCCACCAATTTCATTAGGACAAATGCAAATGCATGCTTAATATTCGTCGGCAAAGAAGAACATCGAAAGATAACACATCACAGATTGATTGTTCGAAATAATCGGCAAAGAAGAACATCGAAAGATAACACATCACAGATTGATAGTTCGAAATAATCAATCTCATTAGCACAAAAGGTGTACTGCTTCCACTAATTCAATTAGTCCGAAAGCATCGAAAAAAAACATTTTAGAGCTCGTTTGTATGTGTTTTCAAAATGACTGAAAGCGCTTTTGGTCAAAATTGTAGAAAGCACTTCAAATGCTTTTGGAACCCAAAAACATTTTCTCTAAAAACGATTTCAATCATTTTGAAAGCACATCCAAACGAGTCATTAATCATTTTAACAGCACTATCCAAGTGATTATGCTCAAGTAATCATTATAACAAGCACAAGTGTTTATGCCCAGTAAATACAGCTGAAATATCAAGAGATAAGGCAAGTATCAAAATTTAAATACCCAAAAAACTAAAAAACCAAAATTGGAACATTTTATCAGTATAAATTCATACCCAGAATCCAATATTTTGAAATTCAGAGGGAAAACATATATTAAAAAAAAAAATTTGCAACCCATAAAAAGAAAAAATAATCAATTTCATCGCTAATAAACGTCTTATTATGCATTGGCTTGCAAGAATTTACACATTTCTAAATTGAGAAACTCCAATAATAAATTGATATACATACATGCATATATACATATATATATATATATATAAATACATATGCGCGACAATATAATCAGAAATTACCTTCAGAAGATCGAATTGCTGAAATTGTAATACGAAGCGAGTCGGCTGTAATTTAAGAGAGAGATTGCGGCAGAGATAAAGAGGGTACGGATACAAACCAAAACGCGCGTTTTATGATAGAAACAATTTTTCAGGGAGAAATATGGTATGAAATTTTCTAGAAGAAGAAGAAGGAGTTTTAACTTTTCCGTCGGTGCAAGTTAATTTGTTAATTCCATTTTTATGGAATTTAGACCCCTTTAATTAAGGAGTTTTAACTTTTATTTATTTGTTTTCAAATTAATTATTATCTACTTACCATCAATATATTTGTTAATTCAATTCTCATCATTTTTGGCAATTTATTTGCTTGTAGTTAGGACATAAGTTTTTTTAATAACCTTTGATTTTTTTTTATTTAATGATAAAAATTTATATTTTTATTCTACAAAACGTGATAAATGATACACATAATTAACATTTATTAAGATAAATTCATTAGTAAACAAAGCAGATAATACACTAATATGATGATATAAAATATAGTTTTCCTACTTTTTGTCCTATTTATTTGTATTTATTCAATTTATTATTAATTTTTATCTTGAGCTCTTGCACTTTCTGAGAATTATAAAGTTATTATTGGAAATTTGATATAAACCCGACTCTATGGCGTATTTTTTAAATAATTGTAATATTATTAATTTTAGTATAAGACCTTATATTATGGCATCATATACCTTTATTAGATCCATAATAGTTCTCATAATTACCCTCAAGTCCTTCCCTCAACTTGGTTAATTCCATGATGACCAAAAAAAAGAGTTAAAAGATGATTTAGCTACCATTTATGGTATAATGATATTCTTTTTTTACTTGTAGTGAAAGAATTTAGGTTTGATTTTCGTTAAAAACTAATTTAAACCATATTATTACTAGCTCACTGCATTTCGTCGCTTTCCTAATATAAATAATATCGTTTATTAAAAAAATTGATTTGACTAGGTCAACTTCATCAAATCTCTATGCCACCATATTTAGTGTCATTTTCCTGTGACATGTTTCTAATGCTCAAATTCAAATGAGGACAAAATTTCGAAGGTAAAAAGTTGGTATGTGGGGCTTTGCTTGGTTCCATCTCATTAATCAATGATTTTTGGGTAAATTACATTTTACCTTCTCAAGTTTAAGATCGATTTTAATTTCTTACATCATCTTTAAAACATTTCAATTTCATATATTTATTTATCATTTTATTTCAATTTCATACATCCGTTAAAAAATCCGTTAAGTGATGACGTGGCAAATATGAGATTCATATTTGTTCTGACTTAGCTATCAAATTTGTGCCACGTGGCAAACAAAAATATGCATTTTAAATAGGAAACTTTAACGAAAAGCTTCTGCTACTGTTCACTTTAACGAAAAACCATATTTTTACACTAAAAAGTCAATCATGGTACTATTCACTTTACCCTTTATTTTGTCTTTATCGTTAAAACTCAAAGGTTTCAAGCCATTTTCATCAATTTTCCTTTTAAAATATTATAATAATTTACCCTATTTAAAAAATAAAAAAAACCCATCGTCCTTCTCGAGCCCTTTCTCCTCCTCACCCATACCCTATTTCTCCCTTCTTTCATCTACAGCCCTACCCACCCTTCTCTCCTCTTCATCATCGACTCCATCCACCAACGACCATCCTCTCTGTCTTTGCGCCTTCTTCCACGACTAAGCCTAACAAACCCTAAACCTTCAAATCAAGCGGTGCAAGAGACTTGGCAGCGATGGTGGGTGCAGGATTGCTGCTTCGTTTTGCTGGGCTTGAAGATGGTGATGGGCTGCGGGAGCAGAGGCGGTTAGGACTTCAATTATTCGTCTTTGGCTTGATTTCACCGGCCATGGCTACGGGTTAAATAGCTGGGTTTTTTTGGGTTTTGGGTGGAGTGGGGTGGGGTGGGGTGGGGTGGGGGGTGGAATGGGATGTTTGGGTTGCAGGGAAGGAGTGTATGAAATTGAAATAAAATTATAAGTAAATGTATGAAATTAAAATATTTTAAAGATGTTGTAAGAAATTGAAATCGACCCCAAACCTAAGGGGGTAAAATGTAATTTACCCATGGTTTTTTTTATGGTATGAAATTTTACGTGTTATAATAACGGTTCACAATGATATTGCTATGTTGTACGTATGAAATAAATGGAAAATGATCCTCTCCGAATCCTTTTTGTGGGGATATGGAAAATCAATCAATCAAGTATGTTCATCGTACATCGTACGGTCAGTTTTCGTTAGGTACTATTTATATTCAATTTTAAAGTTTAAATTTTAAATGATTTCTGACCGCACGATGTACGATGAAGGGAAATGATTGATTGATCTCCCGGATCGATCCGGAGATGATCCTTTTGCGAAATAAATTAATAAAAAATAAATAATTTTTCATATTAGCACTACACATAATGTTAAATGCATTCCACATCAAAATTTAATATTAAATGACCATTCTTAGGTTAAAAAATAATTAAAAAAATTCTGAATACACCCCAATTCACTTTTATTTTATTCAACTATTAAAAACACTCCCACCCTCAATTGTTAAACAAAACTCTAACTGATGAAACTATAAATATGTTAATTGAGACAAATTATTTTTGACGAAAGAAACACGAAATTGATGTTCAGAAGCTTCATATGAGATAAAATTTCATATTTTTCATTGTTCTAGTGATTTCAACTATATTGGTAATTATTTAAGCCTAATTTTGCTATTTGTCGAGAACGCCGCTGAACTGATCCTTCCCTTTCTCTTCCTGTATCTCGCATGTTCATTATCCAACACACCCCACCCTTGAAACCCTTCACTGCACTTTCGTATATGCCATCCCCTTACCAATCCCTTTGCCCTTTTCAATGTTATACCTTATAGAAGTATTATAATTATCAGTTTGCTGGAGATTAAATGATTTTGACGTGTATGATTTTGCCACTACTGCTACTAATCAACAATTTTATTTTTTTATTTTTTATATTTTGAGTTGTGATAAGATTTGAAAATTGTGGGGTGTATGTTTTTATTTTATTTTATTTTTTTAAAGATATGATAGTTGCTTTCATTTCATCATAAGTTTCATTACAAGAGTTTGTCCATCTCTAAGCATAGAGCTAAGCACAATCCTCCACAAGTATATCAGTTATAATACTAGGGGGAGAATCAATCCATTCACAACTTTGCATCAAAGATAGTCCAACTTTTGCAAGGTAGTGAGCAGCAGCGTTCGCATTACGACGAATGTGGGTGATATTTGCTTTAGTGATTGTGTTAAGCAGAGCTTTGCAATCCTCCACAACTTGCCCAATGATTGAAAATTTGAGAGTAGGATCCCTCAACGCCAATAATAAGGGATTGATAGCCCCTGTCAATCGCCCATAGCAAACCCGCCCTCACTGCCATAACTTCTGAGAGCAATGGGGAGGATATATCTTCAAAGCTTCCAGTACGAGCAACCACAAAACACCCATCGCTGTCTCTGATAATGGCCCCGAATCTTGCAATGAGTCTTCCTGAATTCTAGGACCCATCAATATTCATCTTGATTTGTCCTTGTGGTGGGACACTCCATCTGGGGGGGTGTTCCTCAACCTAATATCCCGTTACGAACCTGCGTTTGTGGTCCTAGTAAACTCCAGCCACCATTGGATGGCACGATCAGTGCATACCTCGGGTGGTTCCAGTTTTTCCTCCCAATGTTTCATGTTTCGTGCCCTCCATAATGCCCAACAGACCATCAGAAAAACATCGAAACTTGCCCTAGGTATAAGGTTAGCCACTTCATTGATCCATATCATAAAGGAAGAAGGATGATTGTTTCTCAAAAGTTTACCCACCCGTGAGCTCATCCATGCACATCTCGCATAATGGCAATCCTTCATTAGATGGATGGTAGATTCACCATAGGCTCCACACAATACACATTCCACATCCGTGGTACAATGTCTCGCCACCAAATTGGCTCTAGTAGGAACCAATTCATTGGCAAGCCTCCATATGCAGATTTTGACTTTTGGTGGTACATGTGCATTCCATACCTTCACCTAGACCTGGCATTTAAAACCCGACCCGTTAACCCGACCCGTTAAAATGAGTATTCGGGTGAGTGTTTAACGGGTTGGGTGATTAACGGGTCAACCCGTTAAGCACCCGTTAAATAACGGGTCATTTTGGGTGAACCCGCGAAACCCGTTAACCACCCGTTACACCCATTATTAAGGGCTTTTGTGTAATTTCAGTTGTCAATTATAAGCTTGCAGTTTTGTGCAGTCTGTCTCGCATTGCAGTGTTTCTGCTTTGCAGCCTGTCGCTCTTGAATTCTTCTCTTTCTTTTTCTTTCGCATCCCTCTTGAATCTAAATGCACTTTAAAGACAATTAATAATAATTATTAAATGATAAATACATTTTTGAAGGTAAAAATCCAAGAAAATCGTGGAGTAATTGGGACCAATTACCAGAAGGAGGAGGAGAAATCTCTGAAATTGTTGAGCTGCGGAGAGGAGGGATTGTTCTGGCGATCCTGGCCAAAATTTCTTGAAAATTCGCATTCATGGCGTCAAGAAGTTAAAAGATTGGTAATTTATGAATCGATGTATAAAACCATAAATCGGGCAGAAGAAAATGTTCAAGAAAATTCAAGAACCTGAGCAGAGCGATTCCAAAGACTTTGCACAGCTTGTGTTTGTGGAAATGTCTCCGAGAGGACAATTGGATTAAAAAAATAAAAAATAAAAAGTTAACGGGTGAAACGGGTTGAAACGGGTGACCCGTTAGCTTAACGGGTTGGGTTCGGATGATCCATTAGCTTAACGGGTTGGGTTCGGGTGACCCGTTAAATTAACGGGTCGGGTTCAACCCGACCCAAACCCAGTAAACCCGACCCGTTTACAGGTACCCACACCTTAGCTCCATCACCATTCGAGGACGATGCCCCACATTTTGTGGTTTGTAGCCAATTCCTTGCCACATGGTAAGCCGATCGGACCGTAAATATTCCATGTCTCTCATGGTGCGACAAGAAATGATCTGGTGGGTTTCGTACACTTAAAGTGATTGTCCGGATTAGATTTTTCGTACACCCCACATTTGCTTTTTCGTACCCCACATTTGCTTTTTCAATTAAAAAATTATCTTAATACACTTCACGTACTTCCTCATAATACTACCATAAATGTAAGGTGTATGTTGAAAATGTGGGGTGTGACAAGATAATTTTTAATTGAAAAAGAAAATGTGGGGTGTATTAAGTATGTGAGGTTTATTCAACAATTTATGAAGTGTTAATATTATAAGCAAATGAGAGTATTATTAGAAAGTATGTGAGGTGTACTAAAAGTATGCAATTACTCATTTTATAAGAAAAGAGAACGACATTGTTAAATAGTCTAACTTTTATAATATATCAATTAAGAACAAATCCATATGTTATAACTTGTCTTAAAAATAACGCAAAGTTATATCTCGAATACACTAAAAATTTGCTGGTTAATTACCCTCAGTTCACTCCATCAACTTGGTTAATTCCATCTTTGACTAAACAAACATTTATGCTTGGTCAACTGCATCAAAACTCAATCGTGCAGGTTAATGATATGTAAATAAATTAGAATATAATGTTCGTATTTGACCGTTACCAAGTAAAAAGTAGCTTATGGATAATGTTTAATGATGTGAACAAAAAAAAAAGGAAAACTAACGAAAAATCTAAAAAAACTTCTATTTTAACAAAAAGTTCCTTTTAAAGGTATAGTGAATAATGCCAGTTAAAGGTAAAAATGTGGTTTTTCGTTAAAACTGAACAGTATCGGAAGTGTTTTTTTTTTTTTATCAATATATCGGAAGTGTTTTGTTAAAACTTCAAAAAAAAAAAAAAAGAGAGAATGTTTAATGTATACTTTATTCTGAATGCATATTTGGGCCGGGGCGGACCGGACCTAAATCTTTGGCTTAGCGGGTCCAAGTGGGCTTTTCAATTTTTGGGTCGGGCCTTGTAGTTTAATATTTAAATGTGTGTGTGTGTTTCTTTCCACATCCAACATTTGTAAGATAAACTAGGGAAGGGAGCGCCTCACTACAATATGTACATCCCAACTAGGTTGGGAAGTTATCAAGCTAAACCCTTTTCGAATAATTGAGTTAAAGCAAGATGTGTGTGTGTGTAAAGAGAGAGAGAGAGAGAGAGAGAGAGAGAGAGAGAGAGAGAGAGAGAGAGAGAGAGAGAAGAGAGTGAATTTGATTAGTCAAGGCGGAGCAACCGAATGGATCTAAGAGTGTTGTTGGGTGTTGTTAGGATGTTGCTGCAGTTTTTTTGGTTTATGACCAATGAAGGACATGGTGATCAATTAAAAAAGGGGGGTGATATCTACACACCAATTTTTACTTCTCTCACACCATTTTAGTTTTCGGCTGTCGGATCAGATGAATTAAAGAAGATCAACAGACATAAATTAACAAAGAGTGTGTGAAAAGTAAAAATGGGTGTGTGGATAGCACACCCTTTAAAAAAATCAATTAAGGTTAGTATAGACTTTTCACATGCAAAATTGATCAAAAGAGCACCTCTTTTTACCTCTCATTCCCTCTGTTAATTTTTGTCATTTGATCCGTGGCCGAAAAATTGAGAAGTGTCTGTAGAAAGTAAAAATGTGTGTGAAATAGCTACCCCTAAATGTGATCAAAGTGCAACCAAATGTTAAAACATGTCTATTACCAATATCGCAACACTGAGGGCTAATTTGGTATTGCTGTGTTTTGAAAAAAAATTGTTGTGAGAATAAACGTTTGTGATGTGAGAATAAGCAGTTGTGTAATAAATCAGCAGAGTGTTTGGTAAACTTTTTTGTAAAAGTGCTTTTGGAAAAAGAAAAAAAAAGCAGTCTAATAGTGAGTCTTTTCATTAAAGCACTGTAGCTCCGTGTGCTTTGAAAAAAAAACCAGTTTTCCTGCTTCAGCTTTTTCCTTTGATTTCAACTTATTCTCACAGCAGCTTCCAAAATAAACCCTTTTTTTTTAGTTTACTAAACACTTAAAACCCTCACAGCTTTTTTTCATGGATGCTTTTTTTTTTAAGCACCTCACTCCCAAACCATCTCTGAGTAAAAGCTGCTGAAGTCTATTACTTCGTCAGAAGAATGGTTGGAAGACGGTAATGATAGCCGGCTCCAACCGTGAAGACTGCATACAAAACCAGTTCACAAAGTACGACATGCAAGATGAAGCAATCGGCAATTTAATTAATAAATCAAAGCTGCGTTACAAGAACAATTTATTGGAAGAGTAAACAGCAAACATAGCAGTTCATTGGATTTATACATTTCTCAATCTTTCAAGATACAACAAGAAATGGCAGATGAAAAATCAACACCGATTCCTCAGTCGATGGAATTAAAACTTGAACACTTAAGTTTCTGTCTAGAAATCTGGAAGGAACAACATCAAACAAGAAATTAAAGTTCTGGTAAAGCCAGAATTACATCCCATTCATACCCTTCTTTTTTTGATATAATTAAGGAAACTGTTCTTCCTCAATTGAAACGCCCCGAACCGTCCCCCTCCCCCCAAATACAAACTCTACATCTGGCTGAAAAGACTTCTTCAACCCATTGCATATTTCTGAGTCCAGCTACGTGCAGTGGATTCGTACTTGGCTCGATCAGTTTTGTACATGTGGGCGATCTCCGGCACGAGAGGGTCATCAGGATTTGGGTCAGTCAGCAATGAGCAGATTGAGAGCAATACCTGGTTTTACATGCAAAATAGGCTTAGTAAATACAATCCTAACCATCTCAGGCAAATAATAAGAAGCATAAAGGAGGAATAGGAAGTCGTGGCTGATACCGAAAACTATGAATTGGAAAAACCAAAAATGAGATACATGCAACATTTTTAAGTACCTTCTCAACTCTTTACAAGGAGCATAATGAACTATTAATGACCTTTTAGCATAAGCAATGCGAAGAGTAATGAAGACACATATATATTGATAACTCTTGCCTAGCTTAAAAACTAGCTGATAATTTTGGAAACACTTGATAACTCTGTGATGCATCAAGGCATCACATGTATACCAATTCCAGATTAAATGAAAGTACAAAGACAAACCAATGTTATGCGGGATTCAAGGAAATATTACAAGAAAATGAAGTCAAACAAACATAAACTTAGTCCGAAATAAAAGACAAACCTTAGAGATAGTAAGTGCTGGGCTCCATTGCTCTTTTAGGATGTCAAGACAAATGCTTCCGTTGCTATTGATATTCGGGTGGAAGACCTTAGTCCTAAATGCAACCTGAGAAACGAAACACCATTATTCTTCTAGAACAAACAATCGCCACACAGACATCACAACAAAGCATGACCGAATTTTGAACATAAGATTGTACAATTTACCTTAGGGGGCTTGAAAGGATAATCTGGAGGGAAATGAATGGTGACCAGGAATACACCTCCTGCGTATGGGCTATCAGGGGGTCCCATAATCGTTGCTTGCCAATGAAACATGTCCTCAGCCACAGGACCTAATACAAAATTAACAAAAATTTACTTATCCAATAAGGGGGAACCTATAATACACAATAATATCAACCATTCACACAAAAATCATCGAAATTGACACGCACCGACACCCACATCTCTATACAAAAACAACAGTTTATCATGACAAACTAACAGAGCTTTGAACTTTGAGTATAAAATCATAACAAAGTTTCAGTAATTATAAAAATTTAAATATAAATTTCGCGCCGACGACCACATCTCTATACAAATCATCAATTTACCATAACAAACTAACAAAGCTTTCAACTTTTAAGTGTAAAATCATCAAATTACAACTCAAAACTCAATTAAAAGTACCTGCGCTGCAAGAAGTTGGAGGATCCTTCTGCAAATCCTTGAGCTCTTTCAAGATGCGCTTCGACGCCATGACGAAACCGAATCGCTCACAAATCACAACTCAAAGCAACCCAGGACCGGAAAATCTGTAAAATCAAAGAAATTCAAATCCAACCCAATTATCTTTACACCCAAATCATCAAATCCCAAAAGCAATTTTGCAATTCGAAAACAAACCATCATCCAATCAAATCAAAACAATTTCCAATGTTCCATCAATCAAATACCTGAGAGATCGGACGGAAATAGCGGCAGCAGAGGGAAACGGGTATGTAGCAGATCCGGAGCTCCGCCTCCCAAAGCTTCCGCTACCACCAATCGCTCGTTTCGATCGAGACCCCCCGATATTTTCCAGAACAAAAACTCAAGAGACTTTGTGGATTTCCCTTTCAACAGTTTATATACACCGTCCATGAATCTCGTCTCCTTCTTTCTTATCCGTTACTTTTTCCTTCTCTTTTTTTTTTTAAATTCTTTTATATTTGTAACCGTTATTTACGGCGGCTTTCTAATTTTAAATTGGGTAAACTGTCGGTTTACCCCTGAACTTTCACCTCATTTTCGATTTCCCCCCTGAACTTTTCTATTGGAAAATTAAGGACTCAAACTAATTATTAGCCAATTTGCCCCCTACCGTTAGTTTTTCATATATTCCATCCATATTTCCGTTAAGTGAGACCATGTGCACAACATGTGAGGGTAGTTAAATTATTTCACTCTTAAAAATGATTAAAAAACTGAAAATAAAAAAAAAACAAAACTTTCCCTCTATTTTTTCCCTCTAATTCCTATCCTCAATTTTATTTTTCCCTCTCATTCCTATGCATGAGAAATAACATATGGTGTTATTGTTTTCATAAGTAGCTAAGTTAATCTTTTTCTTGAAGCATGTACTACCATTTTTATTTTCTCTAACAAATTAATAATTTGACAAATGCTCATGGTGCTATTGTCTCCAAAGCAGTACATTAATATAAGAAACATGTCCATAAAAAAGACTAGGGTTTCTTATATTAATGCACTGCTTTGGAGACAATAGCACCATTATCATTTGTCAAATTATTAATTTGTCAGAAAAAATAAAAATGGTAGACAATAACACCATATGTCATTTCTCATGCATAGGAATGAGAGGGAAAAATAAAATCGAGGATAGGAATTAGCGGGAAAAAAATAGAGGGAAAGTTTTGTTTTTTTTTTTATTTTTCAGTTTTTTAATCATTTTTAAGAGTGAAATAATTTAACTACCCTCACATGTTGTGTACATGGTCTCACTTAACGGAAATATGGATGGAATATATGAAAAACTAACGGTAGGGGGCAAATTGGCTAAAAAAATTAGTTTGAGTCCTTAATTTTCCAATAGAAAAGTTCAGGGTGGAAATCGAAAGTGAGGTGAAAGTTTAAGGGGTAAACTGACAGTTTACTCTTTTAAATTTTAATTTTGGTTTGAAAATTAAGGGCGTCGGCGGGTGTGGACTCCGGCTTACCTAATTTGGATCGACTTATCCAATTGGGATATTTTTGGGCGACCCAATTAGTTTTAATAAAAAGGGTTTTTCAAAAAAAAAAATTTAAACAAATAATATTATCTACACTAGGGGAAGGGGTGGTTTAGTCTCATAATGAGCTAGCAATAATATGGTTCAAACTCACATTTGGTGAGAATCGAATCTAAGATCTCTTACTTATAATTGAAGATGAATACCACTATATCGTAGTACTAAGTGGCTCAAAACTTTTAATTAACAAAAAAAATCATCTATTAACTTTATTTAATAAAAAAGAGCTTAAACTTTGGTAACAATAGTTCAAATTTTAACGAAAATAACAAAAGTTTTACATAATAATGAAAATAAAAAATAATAAAAAATAAAAAACCAACAAATACTGATGTGTGAGACCACGCATCACATCACACATATACACACAGTCTCCCTCACTTAACCATTCAACCTTTTTTTTTTCTCTCTCTCTCTCCCTCTTTCACATATTCCCATCAATTTTTTGCTTTCCTTTCACCTCATCCATTCACATCAACTTTTTTTCATTTTCTTTTCACCTCTCCTCACCCTTCTCTCTCTTTTCACCTCACTCCATAAACAATTTATTTTATTTGTTTATTTGACTATTCTTTCAATTTTTTTAGAATCAATTAAATAATAATATTACAAGATCAAAAATAAAGGAAATTCATTATTTAGTTTTATGAACACTAATACTGTCACTGTTTCTTAAACATAACATTGACTGCTTCTTAAATTTGAACACTATTTCTTAAACTGAACATTGACTACTTCTTACACCGAACATTATTTCTTAAACTGAACATTGACTACTTCTTAAACTAAACACTAACTATTTCTTAAAAGAAACACTAATATTATCACTACTTCTTAAACTGAATACTGACTATTTCGTAAACTGAACACTAACTATTTCTTAAACTGAACGCTAGTACTATTACTATTTCATAAACTAAACACTGACTATTTTTTAAATCGAACACCTTGTAAACTAAACACTGATTATTTCTTAAATCTAACACTAGTACTATCACTATTTCGTAAACTAAATATATTAAACCAAGTAATAGTACTATCACTATTTCGTAAACTAAGCACTAACTATTTCTTAAACCAAACACTAGTATTATCACTATTTTGTAAACTAGTACTGTCATTATTTCGTTAACTAAACATTGATTATTTCTTAAAATCGAACACTAGCACTATCATTGTTTTTTTAAACTGAACACCGACTATTTTATAAATTGAACACTAAAAGGTTCAAAATTTGAAACTCTCTTCTCATTATCATATGAATCACTGACAATAATATTTATATTCTAAAAGAGTTAGAATAATGACTTTCTGTTTGGACCCGATTTTACACTATCGGCTCGTGCAATCAAGGCCGTTGATGAACATAGCTCGCAATTGTTGGATGGCAAAATAGTTAAGATAATTATTATTGAAGGATATATTGTGGTTTTAATCATGATATTATCTTTTGATGGTGAATTATCTTGATACTTTCTTGTACAAGATAAATGAGATGCAAACTATATCTCAAGCTTTGAGACTCTTATCTGGTTAAACAACAATTTGCATGCAAATTAAATATTTGTCAGATAAGAGAACAAAGAGGTACAGATGAGATTAAATGGGTGTTTGACTAATGACGTGCAAGAGTTGGATGGCATATGCTTTTGTCTTACCATGAAGTCTGTCAAATGATAAGTTTGATGGAAGATGGTCTTTAAAGTATCAGATTATATTACGACTAAATGTAATTTATTATGCATGCATGGTTGTACCTGGACCAACATGGTGGAAAAAGAGAAGCTTTAGTTGGAATATGATGCATTCGTTTGGTCAGGCCATGCATGTGGAAAAGATATCTTTATCTTTTCAAGGAAAATTGGGGGATATTGGATGGCTAAGGCGGTTCCACACAATCTAATGGTTCAGAGTCAACATAGCAGGTGATATTCTACCAAGTTAGAGAGGCGATTGGACTATACAAAGTTATCAGGCCGGGCTAAGCAAAATACAACCATTATAAATACAGAGTCGTAGACAACATTAAGGCGCCCCTCCAATTCAACACAATAACTGCCTTGCGCAAACTCTTGCTCTACGCGAAACTTTTCCACATCCTTGAGATTTTTATTTTCTTTTCGCCAACACATCTTCAGTTTGGATAAACAACATTGTGAAAGCAACCGGTGACATCTTCAATTTGGATAAACAACATTGTTGTCGTAAAATCAGTCGATCGTGGAGCACCTTCAATTTGGATAAACAGCATTGCGTCTCGACCGACTGATTACCTACCTAAGTCTTGATCGATGAGGGTTTTCGAATCCTTGTTGGTATAGGTCATTTCATTAGCCTTCTTGGCGAAACAGGGTGTTACAAATTACTAGGCTTGGCATTTTGAACGCCGAGTTGTTTTATGATTGGATACTCATAAGTGGGATTTAGATTTTGACATTCTGACGGTCGAACTATATTTACTATTAAGACGCACATTTGCTTTAAGTACTTATGCCCATATAGTTTAGTGTTGATTTGGCATGCTTATACTCTTAGGAATATAATCATTATGATCGAATCTGGCGCCGACGATTTATGAACTTCACAAAACTAGTAACCTTGTCTTCAGGCTCTAGAACCCGAAAGCCAAGACGTGTTCCTTCCTCAGCCACAGTTGCAAGATCAAGAAGTCAGCAGTACGCCCAACTCCCCGGCCGAGCTCAGTCGACAAGTTGGCACGCCCCGCACACAATCGAATAACATAGTTAGCTTATTAATTGCTTGGCTTGCGCGCCACATAGACTTGGTAGTTTTAGGGTCAACACTTTCACATTCATATTTGTTCTTTGACATTTCTTCGAACAATTTATTTGACTTTCCTTTAATTTATTCAATACAAAATTAACAACAAAAGCATAAATGAAAGATCATAAAAGCTAATGTGCTTTCATTGAGGATCATAATCTAATATTTTTTATTTTAAAGTTTTAGCTGGTTAGAATTAAAATTAATAAATAATTCCATAATTTGAACATGGGGTGATGATAAGATGCTACCCCACGTGTAAGGCTAAGCAAATCTCTCTCTCTCTCTCTCTCTCTCTCTCTCTCTAATTTTTTTTAGAGTTTGTTGATGTTAGTTGAATGGATTTGGTTGTCATTCTCTTCTTTCTACCCTCATAGTCTCACTCTCTGAACTTTTTCATTCCCGATGAAATATTTAAAAAGTAATTTATGTGTTGCTTTTGCATTGTTGGTTTTATGTTGAATTGGTAGATGTTTGCTTTCGCACTGCTCGCGTGCACACGCACTTTGGGTTGAATAAGTTTTTTTTATTTTTTGTTTTTTATCTCTTGTCCTTGTTGGAAATGTGCCCTAAAGCCAATCATGTGATGATACTTTACGGACATTTCACATGTTAAACTAATCCAGTTTAACATATAAAGGGCATAAATTATTGTTTGAGCCGTCTCATATAAATGTTATATGCTTAAACGATAAAGTCCAAGGAATATGTGATTGGGAGAATGTAATCTAATGAAGTTAGATTCATGAGACCATTCTTTCGTAGACACATCCTAAATGTTCCTGATCATAGGATTGCCAATTGGGCATTGACAGTCCGTTAAGATCGGTACGTACTATGTCTTCTCTCAGGGAGAGTGATTAGTCTCGAATCATTGGTGTGTGTGACATCAAGACAAGTACGGTAGGTGCTCAATAGAGAATGAGTTCACTGAACGCGATCAACGAAGAGTTCTCATATTCCATGTCACATGAGAACTCATGGTTGGGATAATGCAAAGTAGTCCTTTGACCTGAGGCATCATAGTTGTCTTGTGGTTAAGAC